GGAGATCATCATCATAAACTAATGTGTCACTATCACAGATTCCTGGAGGGTTGAAACATTATAGTCCTGAGTTCTTGACATATTTCTGAGGAACTCCTGCCTGGTGCAGACTCAGCAGTAAGCAGCCTCTCCAGAGGAAGAGTAGTAGTAGTACTAGTTAATTCGTGGAAACATACAGACTTCAAGAGGAGTGGGGAGGATGACAAATAATGTCAAATTGCAAATATAGCCTTGAAATCTGCCTGGCCGCCTAGAAGTGATACAGTCATGTCAGAGTGAATGCACCGGGTCTGATGGATGAGGCGGTCGGCCCTGTTGATCACAAGAGCTCCCATTTCCCATAATAGATCACAGTTCAGCCCGAGAGGCCTGGGTCTCTCAGAACGGGCCCATAAGTTCAGGAAACGAGCCTCGGAGGCTGACACATGAAGGGTAGTCTTTCTGTTGAAAGTCAGTCTTCCAAAGCCTTTAAAACGTGAAGATAAAAGGTTGGTGAAGGTTAAACCTCTAAGTTGCTGAGAAGTTGACATCTTACTGAATCAAGTAAAAAATGATCATTTTAAAGATAAGAAGAATTTCTGTTTGAATCTGCTTCGAGCACAGTAGTTGAGAGATAACTAAGCCGACAAACCCTCCTGGAGATTACTTCAGCCAACACAAACCCTCCTGGAGATTACTTCAACCAACACAAACCCTCCTTGAGATTACTTCAGCCAACACAAACCCTCCTGGAGATTACTTCAACCAACACAAACCCTCCTGGAGATTACTTCAACCAACTAAAACCCTCCTGGAGATTACTTCAACCAACTCAAACCCTCCTGGAGATTACTTCAACCAACACAAACCCTCCTGGAGATTACTTCAACCAACTCAAACCCTCCTGGAGATTACTTCAGCCAACTCAAACCCTCCTGGAGATTACTTCAGCCAACTCAAACCCTCCTGGAGATTACTTCAGCCAACTCAAACCCTCCTGGAGATTACTTCAGCCAACTCAAACCCTCCTGGAGATTACTTCAACCAACTCAAACCCGCTTCGCTTTGTGAAATGATTTACCAATTTTGGGGGTGAGCTGAATCAAAACATTTAAGTCTTTGGGATGAATCAAAATTACTACTGTTACACTAGTAGGGCTTTTGAATCTTTTGATTTAGTTCTGATTCTAATTCATTTCATGTTTTTGGAATGAACTGAATCAAAATATTCAACTCTGGATGAATCAAGATCCCAACTGTAATAGTAGTTGAGAATTTGATTTATCCCAATGACTTGATCCTTTTGAGTCAGTTCACCTCACAGACTTTCTATAGGCAGTATCCGCTTTCAATGGGATGGACTCACATGCCTAACTGAACGAACAACATGCCCTTTCTGTTCAGTCATTATTTAGTCCTTCAGTTGCCTCAGTTTAGTGTCAATCCACTCACTCTCAGTGTCCTGGGTCTGACACCTTGCAATCCATTTGCTATTTTGTCTTATACACTTCAACTATATTAAGCGTGTAACTTCAGAACTTTCTTTAAATGAAACAGACACTCGCGTACTCTGGTGAAACCTTGTGGTTTAACGTCCTTCAGTCTGACAAAAGTGTCCAGCATATTTCAAAGGAAATGACATCAGACACCCAAATGTGGTGGGAATTTCTGTGAAGTAGTAGTGTTGGTTGAAGAGCTTCACAGCACTCATTCTAATATGCTTGTCAGGAGAAGGCCATCGAGTCACAATCTCCTCATCTTGAGCTAAATTAAGACAAGTGCCTCAGCATGTTCTACTTAAGTCATTCTGAAAAGCCTAGACAGACTGCAAATATTAATATTATATCACAAGCTTTCACTCATTCCTTTTAGGACTTTCTTTCTTTCTTTCTTTCTTTCCTTTTGAATAACAATTTTCTTCTATTTTGTATAAATTATAGGATTTCCTCAAGGTTTTCTATCAGGAGGCAGGGCGTGAGGTGACTGTCCAGATTTTAGATGGCACTGAAATTGCTTTCTACAATAATCATACAGTGATTGGATTTTGGGGCATCATGGGAATTGCTAGCCATAGAGAACTGTCAATTTAAGCGGACTCTGGGGCTTTAGTGTCTTGTTAGAGAAAGGTGATTATAGTATTGTGTTTTTTTTCCCCTTGCTACTCCTGTGGTCATATAAACTGATTTGCACAGACTTTTACCTTATTGGTTAGACACACCAAGACGATAAACTGTATGTAATGTCCAGTCGATTAAAATATTTTGTTAATCAAATTAATTAGATTATGAATATTGAATGAATGAATAGTTTAAAAAATAAAAATAAAAGTCTAATAAAAAGTTTTTAAAAAATGTGTTTAGCAATTGATTTTTTAAATGTTGATTTGATTTATTTTATTTAATTCTAATTTAAAAAAAAAAATTTTATTTGAAAATAAACTTTTCATTTTTAAAAATAAACTTCTGTTTTAATTGACAGCCCTACAGCTGACTAAGTTAGCTTTTTTATAAACTTTGAGGCCTGGGGACGGATTGCTGCTGTTCGTGCGTCGTGGAGTTCAATGGCTGGTCGGCATCCTGGCACAGTCAAGGTGGGCACTGGTGGCCATGTGCGCACACTGATCCTCTCTCTGGGTAGCGGGCACCACATCAGACTTTATGTAATTGCCAATGTTTAGCCAACATTGCCTTTTCCGGATTATACATGCCATGCATGCTAGGCTGGACCAGGCCATGAATTTAGCGCCAAGCTGCTCTGCAAGCAACAGCTTCTTGTTGGCCCAGTGGGCTGGTGCTTAACCTTTGAAAGAAGATAAAGGGAATATTCAGATGAGTGGGGTCGAGATCATCTGATGAGGAGTCTGCTGAGGAGTTTTTTATTAAATTAATCTAATCTTCCTCTACTCGTCGCTTAATCGCATTAATTATTATTAGTTGATTCTCTCCAAAAGCGTGCTTTGCACATTAAGTTGCTGAAAAATGGTTGCTTGCAGCACTGGTGATGTATTCAGTGTGTTTGTAACAGCATTTATGACAGTGAATCTTAGCATTTCAGGTCTTTGCCTTTAAATGGCGCTGGTCTCATTATTCATTGCATGAGCGTGGTGAAGACTAGGTGAGATGTGTTCTCTAAACATCATTTATGCGTGGGACATGCCTTTTGAACATGTGAAAACACCTTGGGAGCCAGTGTTTGCGTACGTATGTCTCGCTAATGAATGCATGACTTCTTCAGATGTGTTTTTTTCTGAAGAGGGTGCCAATTTGACAAGGAATGAAATGTCGTCACACTATAACTGGTGGGGGGGTGGGGGGGGAGGATCCTCTACCCAATCTCTACTGCATATAATCTGAGATGATCAGTGGTTTTATTTTAGTCATTACATTAAAAAAAAAAAACCTGCTGTGGGAAATTCTGAAATATAATTTAACTGATTTGATTTGTTCCTGACTCAGGGTGTTGTTGTAATCGCATAACACCGCTTTGTAGAATTTTAATGCGAGGTAGACATGTATAATTCGTAGCCCTACGTAGCCAATAAACTCCACAGACCGGCCTAATCGCCTCACCAGCTGCATCAAACATGGGTGTCAGAAATCCTCCTGAAGTAGCTGCAGCCAGATTAGAACACTCATCCCACACAGACACGTCTGCTTGACAGGTGCGGCGGTATAGATTTGGCCAAGCATTAATGGAGACCATCTCTCCTCTCTCTCTCTCTCTCTCTCTCTCTCTCTCTCACTCACACACTGACATTAAGGTCAGGAGTGAGAAAAAACAGAACGAACATAAGGTGCTTTTTTTTACCCAGATAGACACTGTTAATCCAGAGATATAGGAACCATCAGAGAACAAAAGCATGTCTGTTGTCAACTACTCTCTGTAGGGCTTTTCGTTTCTTCCTTAAACTTTGCTTTTTCTGTGGATGAGCTCTAGGTTTCTGCTTTGCCGCAGCTTATATTTTTGTTATTGCTATAGTCCAAAATTGAGCCCACAGTAGAAACAAGTTAATGAAAATGTTTATTAGATTCATTTAACTGGAACCCTATCGATCTTTGAGTGCTTTCAGGAAGAAAATGAAGAGAAGGCTAACAGAGCGGCTTTTCCTACTTTCAAAGCATGTGGCTATAATTTACCACCTGAAAAACATAACTTGAAGTGAAGTGAAAATTCTAAGCACTAATATTTATCCCTAAGCCCAAGACATATTTTCTTGTTCCTAATTACTACTTAATTTATGATACTGTGAATAGATTTTCTCATTCCTTTTTTACAGATTCAAAATGGATATATTCAGTTTACTGCTCTCACTGTAATTAAGCATAAGTATTTGTCAAATTCCTAGTTTGGAATCTATCTATCTATCTATCTAGATAGATAGATAGATAGATAGATAGATAGATAGATAGATAGAAATATTGATAGAACGATATGACGATAGATAGAAATATTCATAGAATATGTCATCAAGAAAGTAAGAGAATTGTTGCAACCCTAATTAGTAACAATAAATAAAAGTTGAATCTCCAGTGTTTTTTTTTTCATGCTGCATTTGTGTTTCAAGATTGATTGATTGATTGATTTTTGCTGCTTCAGTCTTGGTCTTACATACTATTAATTTATGCACTTTATCATTAGTTTAGTTTCTCACACAATCTACTTGTGATATATGTACTTCCTTGGTTACACTGAATTTAATATGAATTAATGGGGCATTTGTTGACTACTGATAAAATTCTTTGGCATCCAAAATTGAGAATTGTTTCCCATGCCTGAGGCTTTATTGTTTGGCCTATTAAGTGAGCCCTTTTCGACCCTCTGTCAGAGCTGGGATCTAAATTTAACTCCCATCAGCTGAGTGTCTGGCTGGACTTCAGATGACCTAACAGTGTGATTTGGGTTATTGAGGCCACATGGCTTCAAAGTCAAAGACGTGGTCAACAAGACCTTCCCTGTCAAATATCTGCGGCTTCTGTTTCTGCTGAAACGGCTGTTAATTTCTTCCATTTTTACTGGACAACTAGCTTACAAACTCTTGTCACTGTCCCGTAGAGATACATTCTTTCTGCTGTTCTTAAACAGTGATTGAAGTGCTTTCCAAAAACAAGCCTTCTCAGCAGAATTGTTCAAGGAAAAGTTCAATTTTGATAGAGTGGGTGCTTTTTGTGTCTTAGGCAGCATTTTACATTTAAAAAAGCACTAGCCTCACTTAAAATAGAGGCTTCAGATCGTCAAATATAGATAATTCATGGATATTTTGGCCAATCGTCAATGTGTCTGCCATGTCATGTTCCTCAAATTGTTGAACCAGCTGAGAGAGAAGCAAGACCATAGATGGCAGGGACGGCCAAGTGTACACATCCAAGAATTTTCCTAAGAGGCCCAGTGAAAGGAAGCACAGGTGACTGGCCCCTAACCTTCGACACATGAACCTGTCATGAATATGACCTCAGCTGACCGTGGCTTACATCATCTTGCACCAATCAGTTCCGGTCCAAAGGGAGGAAGCTTCTGTTTTTTTATACGGCTTGTGTTAGAAATGCTGATATGGTGACTAGGGCAATTTGTGACTGACAAACGCCAAATGTAACACGTTGACTATGCGCATCAGAGCACACGAACTACATTACGTTGTGTAACTTTATTTTTCAGATTTTTGATTATCATGAAAAATATATATATTTTATATTTATAAATATTTTATTTTATATATATAAAATATTAATCATCAATAAATCAATGTATTTATATTTATGATGTATTTATATCAATGTATTTTTATTTTTCATGATTGTTTTTTCCCTACAGTATACAGTACAATTTATATTTAAATATAAAATGTATCATGTATAATTTATATATATATATATATATATATATATATATATATATTGTGCAAATATGATTCATTCATGAACATTCTAACTGATGATTGGGCAAATTACTTTTTTTTGTTTTTTTCCAAGTTTTCATAGTTTATCCTCTCCCTGATTTCACAGTCTTGAATGCACATTGTCAGCACAGTTGTTGGTTCAGTTATTCTGCACCAGGCAAAGAACTCTCTGAGCACTTTTAGATCCCATCTAAAGGGATGTATTTTGATTATGACGTCTATTCATTACAAAAACCCTGATTCTGAAGTATGGAGAAACAGACAAAGTTCTCAAATTGAATTTGCTGTGTGCAAAAAAATATAAACGACAGTTGCCTTTTTAGTCATTTAGATTAGTCTGATCCTGTCACAGCCATATGTTGGACTAAGTCAGCATTCCTTCATAAGCGGTTCAGTGGGGCTCTGTGTAATCAATGTGACCTCTCAAGATTCTTCTCCCTGTCACACAAATTTCCCTTTCCAGGAAGTAGGTTAGCAGGGACCAGAGTTTCTATGTGCGAAAAGCCCGGTGAAGGATGTCCGGCGCCGATGACCATTTGCTCGCGCAAGTTCAGGAGGCCTTTGAAGAATAGATTGCCGACAGAGGTACGTCGGTTTAGGGTTACTTATGTCCGTGCATTAGATTCACTTCACGTGGGACTTCTAGTTACTGTACAGTACCGTGGGCTGCTTCTCACACAGCCTGCTGAGATGGAAAGACATGCTGGCCATGTGAACTGCATCAGAATAGATCAGTGGTATCAGACGGATGTGGAATAGAGGCCAGTCATTCCAGACTCTCTGCTACCTACAGCCATTACTTCCCTGTGGGCCTCTGCTAGTCACACCAAGGTTGTTTGAATGGGGAAGTATTTTCCATCCTGAATTTCAAACCCGTTCATAGGCTTGAAGTTGATAGAGAAATCAGGTCAGAGCTGTTTGATTTTTGCACTTCCAGAGCATATTGAAATATCGGCAGCTCTGAAGGCTTTGATTATAACTCCACGCACACACACACACACACACACACACCTTTTCCTGTTGGTATGTAATGAATATTAATTTCCGTCGTATATTGCTCTCTTATCTGGCTGTCCCGATATGAGTCTATATGTACTCTCTGCCTTTGCGTCTAACCAATTGCCATACGCTAGCTTATCTGCTACGGTCTCAGTAAACAAAGTTACAAACTCCTTTCTCTCTGAAAGTCACCCACATTGTAAAATTAACCCTCTTTTGGTTTAAAAAAACACTAAGGTTATGTCCTTTCATGTGGATGTCTGCCTTTCCAGAAATGTTAATTAGGCAGGCTAAGTCTTAGAAGCTGTCAGAATGTTTACATATTTGATGATGACTGCTTTGGGTGAAAAATGTCCAAAATAAATAAAATAATATACAACTGAGAGGTATAAATATATTCTTTTTATTTGGAACTATATGGGTGCCAACTGAAATATTATTCATAGCGAATGAATGTCTTGGAACATTGCAAAAGTATTGCATCATTGCAAACACAGCCTCACATTATTCAGCACTTCAGTTCCAGTGATTTATGTTTAAAGTCATTGTAAAATAGCCAATATATGCTACCGATAGGTATGTATCTCTGTATGAAACATTTTCACCATATCGAATATCCTTGCTTGGTATATTGAAAATAGGTTAATGTTTCATCTGAGGCCATCATCAGAGGGATTTGCATAATTTATTGTTCAGATGGGACCCCTGACAGGCATGCCATATTTTGCCAGTGGTCTATGCCTTGGCAAACACCCATCATCAGCTACGGTATGAGGGTCAGTCCTTACATACGCACTGCCACAATGCCATGCTGAATTAATCTCTCATGCTGTCATTGCCTCGTTGAGCCAAAATCTGTGCAGTGCTTGTGTGCAGAGCGTGATGCCTAACTAAAATTGTCTCAGGATGGAGTCTTTGGGCAATTGCAGGTTTGCTGTACTAGTATATTAGATGTCACTTTGCTATTACTGATCACAGGCGCTTGTTGAGTGTGTTGATGCATGTGGTGTTACAGCTGGAGGAACGCTTGTTTATTTAGCGTCGACCAATTTCAGCTCTCCTCCTACCCTAGACTATACATCCTACTCTTCATCCCTTTGCGATTCACATGCTTGGCTTACAGAACGTTAACAAAACAGATGCAGACGACCTTGAAGCGGACGAGAGTGGACTGATCAACTGTGATATCAAATGAATCTCCAAATATGGCATATTTTTAAATGCTGTTATTCTGCCCAGCCTTTGAGTAGAAGTGGATATAATGAGTATTGATTAATTCTGCACCAGTCATACGGGAGAACAGGAAGCTCATAAATTTCTCCTAACTCCCTGCCCCTGACCCTCATGTTAACCTCGCCGCAATAAAACGAAATTGTATTATTACAACAAGGCAATCACAACCTTACGTTATTGTACGCCTGAGGTTGATGTTATTGACTTGACCAGAAAACGGCAGTAAGACATACACATGGCTTCTCTATTTATGACCAATTTCTCGCACCCCCGCCCGCCCATGTGATCGGTATCTAGATATGACCTAGAGCAGGGGTGCCCAACCCTGCTCCTGGCGATCGACTGTCCTGCAAAGTTCAGCTCCAACCCTAATCAAACACACCAAGCAACTAATTAGGGTCTTCAGGATCACTTAAACATTAAAGGCAGGTGTCTTTGATTAGAGTTGGAGCTAAACTTTGCAGGACAGTCGATCGCCAGGAGCAGGGTTGGGCACCCCTGACCTAGAGGGTCATGAGTGGGTGTTTGATAGCCGCTTCATCATTGTCCTCTTGTGTGACTTGGCTTCCCCGCCGCTTCATGGTGGAGGTCACCCTCCATATCATATTACTGGATGGGCTTCAGCATGGACATTACTGCTAGGGCGGACATGCATGAGCTCATTCGGTTTTCTACCTCTTCTTCTCTGATGGCCCTATTATACTTCATGAATAGGCTCTGTGATTCATACAATACCTCCGCTTTATGAAAGCCATCCAGATACGGAGGCGTCTCTGAGACATGAGCATTGAGTGACAGCTATTCTTCCTGATAGACAGGCCTTGTATTTTCACCAGAGTGCCAGAGTAATTAGCATGTTACTGACAACTGACAGGAATGTGTCTTGAGAAGGTGCATAAAATAGAAAAGGGATTTTGTCTACCATTAATTCCAACTTCTTTTCAGGTCTAAGGTGAGCTATGTGTGTCTGCTGACTGTAAGAGAAAAAACGGACACATGAATTGACTCTCAGGCCAGGCCTAATGGGAAAGCTGTATGCAGAGGCAAATATCTTCAGACACTTGCATGCATACACATGCAGAATATATCCTTTTGCTTATCCAAGCTAGGCCTTGTGGGAATTAATATAGAGTTCAGCCTGAAATAGAGAGCATGACTGAGATGGAGAGAGCAGGAAGATTGCAGAAATTCAGGGTAATATTTGGATGCAGGATTCGCTCAAGGGCGTCCTGTTTCTCCTTATCACATAGAGCGGTAGGGGATGTTCTAAAGATAAAATCAAAACATTAAAACCTTTATCTTATCACACGATGGCAAAGTTATTTTCCTAAAGATGTTTTTGGCTAAAGCTGATGTTTGTCCTTAAAGGATGAAAGTGTGATTTTAGGGTTGTGTTCTTAGGACCTTGAGGCTGGTTTTCATGGGAAAAGTCTGCTTGCGGAGTTCGGGTTGTTGCTGTCTCAGCATGCTAAGCATTCCCATAGCACCCACGGCGGCTTTAGTGCCTCATGCATACAGATGGAGCCGCTTTCTCATGGCCTGTTTACGCTCAGAACTGATTACCTATAAACTAAAGCTAGTTTTGTGTTCACAGAAGGTAAGTAATGATTGTTGACTTTGTATGTTTGTGTTAGTACACCATCACATATGCTTACATGTCGATAAATAGATAGTTAAACTTTGACGAATAGAATGTTTAAGAACAGCATTTATTTGAATAGAAATCTTTTGTAACATTATAAATGTCTTTACTTTTACTTTTGATCAATTTAATGTCCTTGCTGAATAAAAGTATAAATTTCTTAAAAAAAAAAAAAGTCTTACTGAACATTGGTGTATAGTAATGTACGTTTTAAGAAATACATAAAAAATCTAGAAAACAAGTAGTTACAACTTCAGAAAAAAAAGAAGCTGCATATATCAATCGTTTGACTGACTTAAATCTACTTAACACGACAAAAAGTGATGAAAAATAGAGAGGGAGCAAGAGAGAGAAAGGTTTGTTGTATTCTGCACGCATGACAAATAGTGTCTGCCAGGACAGCATTCGCTTGGTGGCATGTGCAGTGCAGGAGAGAGACAATTAGTCTGAAAAACATGCTGTGTAATGTTGAAAACAAGCTGAAAAGCAGTCAACAGTGAAGCTGAGGCTTGTCACCTTGACGCTGGCAAGAATTCATTGTCAGTGTGCATCAGAACAAGTGAGCATGTCACTAATTTTTTTAAAATAATCTTTCTCACTTTCTCTTTATGATGTTATAACTAGCAAAAGTAGATGCATTCTTCATTTTTAAAGACCTCGCTAAGAGTCCCGGGCTTCTACTTTCCGCTGTCATGCAAAGTGCCTATTGATTATGCTGTATGTCTTTGATAGCATATTTCCTCTCTGTACCAGGGAAAGAGAGATCATCCTTTAGCACTTAAGTGGATGTGCATATTTAGCAGCTCTGGTTCTGCGGGGCTGTGTAATGCCATGATGTGCATTGCTGTGTTGTTGTAGCTGCAGTGTCTATTGTGTTGCGTGATAAAAGCCCATACATTTATTTACATCCTGTTGGTGTGCATGTAAAACATGCAAGACATACAAAACACATTCATCCCAGCTTTGAATGATTTTGTTGGTCATTACTGCACTTCTAACACTGAAATCCTGCATAGACGTCACGCTTCTGAGAGGATTAATATAATAGCTATTTTAGCATTGATTCTGGTTTGGATTTCAGCCACTTAGGCTTCGAGTGTGATTGTTTTTCAAAACTGGAGTTACATGAGTGTAGAGTACTCTCCAGATGAGTGTCAAGAGGGAACTTGGGTGGGAGATTGAAGTACTTCAAATAAATACGTGAATAGAATATTTCATCATCTCAGCTTCTTTGCTCTGTAAAGCCAAGGTGAGCGAGTCCAGCTCACCTCTCCACCACCTTCTGATGAAATTTCATCATCACGTTGGTTTCAGACAGAGTTGACAGGTGCTAGTCTGCGTCTGCACGTCAACTTTTTCCAATATCATTCTATTTTCTATGTGACCTGGTAGTTCAAACAATGTTTTTGAATTAAAAATCAACTTAGAAACCACAAATGGTTGCTTTGGGGGATAGATAGAGGATCTGTTTGCCCAGAGCTCTACGTCCTTCAAATGAATCAATGGAAAAAGAATGCTTCCTGCTCATGACTTTGTCAGGTAGACGAGTGAAATGCTAGAAGAAGAACAGAAAATATGCATTGATATCCCAGTTCCTCCAAATCCCAGTCTGTCTTATGTTTCCATGAAGCTCAGGTCTATGTTTGCAGGCAGCCAGATAACACACCATTCTTGAGAGTGAGGGTGGCAGCAGGTCTCAGATTAGGAGATGGATGTGCACATCATGTTGAATAAGGGAAAAATTCCAATAACCAGAGCTGTTCCTCTAACACAACAGTCTCTGCCATGATAAAACCCTTTATTTATATTAAGGTTTAGGATTTGTATTGCTGTTCACAGTGAAAGATTGTTTTTTTAAGGTTTTAGTGAAATTTGCATGTTTAATGCAGGCAATCTGTGAGAATTTCGTGTTCTATAATATCCATTGTATCTATAGTTAAACTAACATTTTTGTAGTATAGTTTCAATTCTTAAAATGTATGCAGTTCAAGACACATTGTGATGTCATTGCCTCGTGTGTGTCTACTCATTATGTGTTGTCCTGTTGTTGAAGATAGAATATTGACGTGAGGGTGAGTAAATGCTGACAAAGTTTTGGATGAACTATCTCTTTTAGCCATTACTATAGAGATTTGAGGTCTTGTAAAGTAAGTGTCATTATTTCAGCTCTGCAAATGTGCTGGACTTGTCCTCGGTCATCTTTGGTCCTCTGAGTCCAATACTGCTCATGTTCTTGGGCTCTTTAGACCCATATCCGATGCTCCTCAGTCCTAGCTCTGTCCCAACATCCCCTCTGGTTGGCCAGGCCTTTGTCTCTTCCTGAGATAAGAGTGCTGCTTTTTCAAGGCCGGACAAACTAGTGTTTGCTGTTTGTTTGCCCAGAGCAGAACATCTGTTTGTCTTTGGGAACTGAAAGCACTATAGCTCTAGCACCATTTGGACTGTGTGTTTATAGCCCATTAGAGCCATTTTGATGATGTGTTCAAAGTCTAGCACAAATACAGACAACTGTGGTCCCAATATTTATTTTATGAGACAACGAGAGGATAATAAAGAGTATTCATTCTTTATTGGGTCATTTATGTATTACAATTTCTTAACCGTAAACAAAAACTTTCTTTTTTTAATCATCTCATTTACAACTTCTCAGAGAATTGTATTGGTAGTCACGTGATGTACACTATTGTTCAATAGTGTCAGTAAGATTTTTCAATGGTTTTTAGTCTCTTATTCTCACCAAAGCTGCATATATTGATCAAAAATACAGTTAAAACAGTAATATTGTAAAGTTAAGCTTTTAAATGATAGTGTAAAAAAAATCACGTCCATTGATGGTCAGTGGATGGGGATGTTTTCCTTTATCACACATTATATCTCTCATCTTCTAGATTTGTCTCCTCTATCCTAATTTCAATCCATAATTAAAGAGCCTGTAGTCCTCTTAAGTATTCAGTTGAGCTGCCAGATATCTGTGGAGCAGAGCGGCACAAATTAGCCAACAGAAATAGTTTTCTCCCTCTCCTGCTCCAATTCCTGTTCCTTCTCGTCCTCCGCTGTGGTGGCAGGTCTCAGCTGAGAGAGCCGGCTGCTGATGGGCAAAGATGTTTCAGTTGATTTTGAGTCATCGAGCCCATTTAATGTCAGATGTGAGATTCAAAATAAAAGTTAAAAGCACCAAACTTCTGCTTCAATGAAACTGGTGTTGCTACATTAATTCTCACTTAATATTTTGTTTGTCTCAGAAAAATGTCACATTGCCCAAATTAGCGTTGCCTTTTTATGTTAACATTAGGCTATTCTTTTTCCTCATCATTACTTGTAAAAATCATATCTATATCAATGAATACATACACACAAGCTCTCAAACTGTTTGTTTAAAATCGGCACAAAGCAGTTTTCTGTCAACGTGACGTAATTTCACTCAATTCCATCTTCCCAAACGATCCTGTATGAAACTTTAAACTGTAAGTGTTGCTGTTTAATCTTTCTATAGTGCATCTGTCGGCTTTTAAGGCTCACTACTGATTCTCTTCAGCGGTACATTTTTCCCACAGTTCTGCTGCATTATTCACCGTCAAGCTTCTCTTTGAGACACTGCTACAGCAGACCCGACTTTCTTCTTCACTGTGGGGGGGAGGGGAAACTGTGGTTTCCCCTTCCCTAAAACGAGGGGTTTATTCGAAAGCAAAGACAATGTGAATTTGTCATGACTGTTTACAGCTGTTTTTTATTATTAGTTTACTAAAATCACTCATGTAAAGGAGCCAAGAAGACAGATCGAGTTTGGGCTTTACAGTCACAGTTCTTTTTTTCCCCCATTTGACTGAGACAGTAGGATCTTTTGGTTCTCATTAATTCTCCAATAACTGCCGAAAGAAGCTGCAGGCAACCATCTGAAGAGCAGCAATTTGGACCCATCTTTCTTGGCTTTGTTATCTGTATCTGGGCTTGTTTGGAGAGCTTCAGTCCATTATTATTATTTTTTTAATTAGAAAGTTTCAAATTATGATCTATTCTGATTAACCTCCTGGCAGTAGAACCTCCTGGGAACCTTCATGAAAGGTTTCAACTAGTTCTTAATTTAGATAACAAGCAAATTCTGATCCTTTCAGTTTTAGTTCAACACTCTGAGAACCAGGGCTGGATTAACATAAGGGTCGCGGATGGAGGGGGCCCGTGATTGGCTGTGGAGGAAAGGAAAAGTAGACCTAGATTGATTGGACATCGGGACCACCCAAACTTTTCCCGGTGGGCCGATCGCCGGAACCCCACCACGCCCCCACATATTATAAGCGCTGTTATTAAAGCCCAAAAAATATTTTGATTTTTTTTCATGTACATTAGCACTCAATAGGTGCTGAACAAAAGTGCACTAGAAAGATAGCTATAGCTATAACTATAGCGCCGACCATGTAAACGGAAGTGTCAAGGTAAACTGTAAATAGGCGATTTAATCCACAGCACCACACTTATTACCATGCAGTTCCTGACACTGTAGAAATATGGCATTAATGATATATATGATTAATGTCACGAAAATTATTATAGGCTACTTATATTAAATATTGGGTAAAATAAAGGCAATAAGTCACTTTAATAGAAGTTTATTAATACTATACAGTTAACTTTGGATTCAAAAATTACAATAGCTTTTCATTAGGGCAACTACAAAGGATAATTTAATCAACTTTAATTGCAGAAAAATGTGAATTCAATAATTAAGAGCCTGCAATATAATGGAATATTAATATTGTTAAATGCTTTTGAAGTATTCTTATTGGTTCCCGTCCTTTATTTATTCCAATTGCCCTAACCACAGCAAAACATTTATGGGCGAATGTGTGGGCCAGATGGGCTGAATTTTAGCACCGGTCCAGCCCTGATGGTTCTCCTCATCTAGAGCCAGAAAGAAGACCTTCTAATAATCAAACTATTTAAAGCCTGCTAAATAATGGAATATTAATATTGATAAATGCATTTAAAGTATATTCAAAAATAGTATTATTATTTGTTTCCATTCTTTATTTATTCATAAATAATTTATTTATTCCAATTGCCCTAACACCAGTAGGAAAGAAGACTTTCTAATTATAAAACTATTTAAAGTAAACTGCTTAAGTGAACATATATGCTCAAAAGTTGTTGCTGTTTCTGGAAACCTGTTTGCTTTGACTTCAAATATCTGGTGTATTTATTCTTTTAACGTGTTGTAGCCTGGAATATTTCGTATGCATACACATTGTATTTCTGTGCGTTGGAAATTTGATCTTTTAAAAAAACTCGAATTATTCCTGTTGTGGAAAGTGGCATCAAGATAGGCTACTATGAAGGAGGCCCTTGGGTTCGCTATAGCCTCAGGGCCCTGTGTGTTCTTAATCCGGGCCTGCTGAGAACTATTTATGATTACATTTATGGAATCGGCACACAATTTTATATAAAAATTAACTCAGTCAAACCCATGACCTTGGCATTGCTAGCATCATGTTAGCAATATAACACATAACAAATTTGGGGGGGGGGGGAATAATTAAACATTCAGTCAACCGTGTGCAATCATTGTTATCATATTTTATTTACATTCTGTCCATATTGTTTAATTATAATACTCTACAAAATAAAAATCGTATTTCTAAATAAAATACGGCCAAACATTTTAGATTTTTTTAAGCAGTAATGTTTTATTCTTCATATTATATTTTATGCCTAATATTTATTCATTGGACATTCCTATTTTCTGAGTGCAATACTCCTATGTATGACTGTTTGATCTGTTTTAAAATTTTGTAGAAAGCTTTGCTAGAAGATAAATGGCTGAAAGTTGTTTATATCTCTTCCACTCAAGCTAAATATGTTTTGTCTATCCGCTTAGATGAGCGATTATTTAGATTTGGCTTCTTCTTAGTATCCATTCATGATTTATTCTATAAGATGGATGCCGCTGGCTTAACGAATGAAGGGCAGAGATCGATTGCTCTCTAAGGACGGTTTCATCAGATGATCTGCTCATGGTATCAAAGAGATGTTTGAATCTCCCAGATCCTTTAAATTGAAATCATATCAAGTTAATTCAATATCTCTGTCATCACTGGGACATTACATGACCACTTTCTGTACAAACAGTACTTACACCCATTAATAAGAGTTACACATGTAGACTACATTCTCTGTAGTCTATTTGAGCAATAAAGGGCCAGTGGTCATTTGAGCAGGATGAGGCCGCTCAGTAATGGGGTATCATTTCCCTCTTGGTCTTCATTAAAATAGACTGTTTTATTTGAGTGTAAAATCAATGACAGCTAACTGGCTTCTTAAAGAGAGGCCCGCAACCCCCGGGGCGGTGCAACTCTCTTCGTTTTTCTCAATCTCTCTCTATCTCGCCCTCTTTATTTCGTTTTATCACCCTTGTATGCAGAAGGTTATTAATGCTGCACACCGGATAAAATATTCATACATTTCTTTAAGCGGTAGACTGCTATTCAGTATGTGCTTAGTCTGCCTTGGTTTCTCTAATCTTAAGCAGTAAACCATACATGGCCTCTTTCTGACCACCAGCTACTCCAGGTTCAAAACAAGTTAAGCTTTATCAAGAGCTGCTGTGGCTAATGTATGTCTAATGTATATAAACTGCTTTTTTGCTAATTGTTTTATAATTATTACACATGACCTCATATCACATGAAATATTATCACACCACAGGCCATTTGATCAACCAGTGAACGAAAAAGATGTTGGAAAAAAGTTATAATATAAAATAAATAATATAATTAAGTTACGTAGAAATTTGACTTCCGCAGCAAATTTTCTGTGATTTTATAATTATTATATATGCAGCTTTTATGACTTAATATCATATGAAATACTGTTAAACTATAGAATCTTTTGCACAGAGATTCCGGAAAATACACGGATAATGTGTCCTGTAGTTTGATTTTGGTCATTCGCACTGCTAGTGATTTTCCGGAATCTTTGCGTGCGTTCACACACATCCCATAAAGATCCCGTAAAGACATGTGACATTACAGAGTGACGTGTAATGT